CCAGCCAGCATGGCTGGCTGGGGAATTCTGGGAGTTGAAGTCCACCCATCTTAAAGTGGCTCAGGTTGAGGAACCCTGGCTTAGATAACACAGTGCCTACTCCCAAGGCCTGTGTCCATGCTCCCGATGCCAGGGGCAATGCCAGGGCATTTTATCAAAGTCTGGCACTGCAATCCCACGACTCCGTTTTGGAGTCGGGCTTTGAAAGTGACCCTGACCAGATGTGATCCCTACGCATCCAAAGCATCAGAGCCTGGGAAGTGTAGAGATAGGCTAGTGCTTAACCGAAACAATCTTGAGCTTTTCTCTTCTTCCTCCCCCCGGCCAAGTAAAAGTGAAAAACAAGCCAGCTAAACCATATTATGACTCAGAGTGAGCTTTCTTAACATGAGCAGGAGAAATGAAAATAGGTCACCTAAACTTCTCAAAATAACAATGGTCTTCTGCATCGCCACTACACCCACCCACCCAAATATTAGGCAACAAAATAAAGCTGGTAAGGAGTCTTGGGGCTTAATAGGCAAACAATGGCATTATTGTTTCAGGATCAACAGGTAACTATGCCTACCGTTAAAAAACCATTGCAATATAAAAGCAGTGACCTTCCATAGATTACGCAACAATAAAATTGTTCGCCGGGGCTGCGTTTGTATGATATGTGGACCCCTAATTAACTTATCCATGGGTTATTCATTTAACCCAATTTTCTGGTGCTAATTTTCCCCCACTTCCAAGTTACTGCTCCTTTTCCTTACTATTAACAGTTCAGTACCTGTACTTGAAACAAAAAACAAATGAAAAGTTAACACCACCACGTTAGGAAAATATAGGAAAATAGCTCTAGCAGATTCCTGCTGTTTTTACCCATTTCTACATTAACAAATCGCTGTCAAGAACTTCAGGGAGCTATCAGAAAGCAGATTTCTAATGTTGGCTCTGAGAGACTGATCAACAGTGATGGTTTGTACCTGCTGCTGCTGTTCAATAAGCTCTCATCTTTTATAGAGTCAAATGAACCCAGCCTGGTAACCTGAGAAGGCCTAGGACAGTGCTGTCCAAACTTGGCCGCTTTAAGATGAGTGGACTTCAACTCCCAGAAGTTAAGAGAACAATTAATATTCTGGAATGCTGATGTTTGTTTATTTATTTTTAAGATTTATAAGGCTGTCTAACTCCAACAGTGAGACTCTGGGCAAAATAACAGTGCTTTGGATGGCGCTTTTTAAATTCTTTGTGAACAATCTGGTCTAAGAGGTAAGTAGAAAAACAGGCAAGTTTGCAGCTGACACCAATGGTTAAAGGGATTGCAAAGAATTGTAGGGAGGCTCCCTGAAAGGAAGAATTGGAAATAAAATAGCAAACAGTCCCATGGCCACATCAACCCTGTAAGGTAGGCCAGACTAGGAAACCAAGTCATGCCAGCCAATATGACCTTTATTATAAAGATATAGCAACCGAATCTGGCAAGTCTGAATGCACTTTCCCCTCCCTCTCTATATCTTCATGAGAACTAGTGAGGGGCTTGTCTCAGATGCTTTCTCAGGATACAGTTCTGCTCTGGACTCAGGTTTCTTTTATCTGACTGTTGTTTTAGTAGCAGCTCTTCCTTCTGTCCCTCAAGGCCATTCCCTCTGTCTACTTCAGGCCACAGAAACTAGGACCGGAAATAATGGGCATAAGTTGCAGGTACTGTACCTATATTTTGTTTTAAGTCTAAGGAAACACGTCCTGATGGTAATATCTGTCCAATGTTGGACTAGTCAGCCTGTGGAGGTTATGGGCTTTCCACCTCTGGAGGTTTTGAAGAAGAGGCTGGCCAGCCACCTCTCATGAATGTTTTAATTGGTTTTTCTGAACACTGAAGAAGGTTGGACTATCATTGAAGATGATGCTTGTGGTCCCTTCCCTGTTTTATAATTCTGTGATTCTGTATATAATCAGAGGTTAAAAAATGCAGTTATGGCAAATGAAACCCAACTAACCTGGATTCCCATGGCATCTGAAGCCTGATTTAAACACGGTTTATCATATAGGCCATAAATGGTTCACCCAGATCATATAATGGCTTAGCATGTTGTGTGAAGCCTGGCAGTACGATGTTTCCAAAATTCACTTAGAACGGATAGCTGAGGCTTGGCTCATTCTTCATTTGGGGCCAAGCTTGCTCAGAAGTAAATCCTAGTGACCCTCCTGCCAAGTCAACAAAGATAGGATTGTATCTGGGAGAAATAAGAGCCGCTGCGTTCAGTAGATTTTCCCAGTTCCAAATCTGAGGGGTCTGCAGATTTGTTGACTAAGATTTTGATAATTGGCACCCAACACATGAAGGGTACTGAAGGATTGGGAGGGCTGTATTGACTCTCAGGAAACACCATGATACGAGTTTCAAGGGGGTAGAAGGGGTCATGACAGATATATTATGTCATAATATTATATATAATCTCATGACACCTCTGAGAGCTTAAGGGAAGGTAGACTGTATAAACCAGTGTTTCTCAACCTCAGCAAGTTTAAGATGCATGGACTTCAACTCCCAGGACTCCCCAGCCAGCATGCGTGAACTTCAGCTCCGGGAATTCCCCTGCAAGCACGTGTAGACTTCAACTCCTAGAATTCCCCAGCCAGCATGTTGGCTGGGGAATTCTGGGACTTGAAGTCTATGCATCTTAAACTTGTTGAGGTTGACAAACACTGGCATAGACCATTCTGACAGTCCTTAAATTGTGCAAGCGGATGGTTAGGACTGTGCTGTTGTGAAGGGCTTCCTTTTGTTCTTTCTTGGCCAGCACCGATGCACATGCATGCTTACATTTGGGAAAAAGCCCAGCATTAACCACTGTTTTGCTGCACATTGTTGCAACCCATCTTGTTGCAAGAGGGTCTTCGCACACCCAATACATGTTAGCAGCTCCATCCAATCAACATGCTAAACCTGGTTTGGTTTGTGTGCTTGTTTCGGGGAATAGCTTGAGCAAAGTAGCCCTTCCAGCAGTTCATGGGGTGCAGGGGATTGTGCGAACCTAGATATTGTAATGGTTGGGTTTTAATCATTGCACACCATCCAGAGTCTCTATTGTGAGATGGGCGGCTATACAAACTATTAAAAAAAACCCACAAATAAATGGGTTAGCTTAGGATCCAAGTGAAGCGTATCATGGGAGGCCAGCGCTGACTCTCAGAAGGCGGCCTGACTCCCCCCATCCTCGCCCACCCAGTTTTGGAGCCCTTCCCGCTGCCGCCTTCCAGCTGCTCAGCCAGCTTCCAAGCGCGCGGGAAGCCTTTGCGCGGAACGCTTGTATCGGAGGAGCAGTTTCCGGCCGGGCCGGGGGACCCAGGGACCGCTGGACACCCCTGCGAGCGGCGCCGTTTCGGCGCCGCGGCTGTCATGGCGGCCTGGGGCACGGTGCGGCCGGACGGAGAAGCAGCCGGGGGAGAGCGGCAGCTGTCCGGTAAGGGCC